AAACACTAAAATAAATATGATTATTTTTCTAAAAACACCAAAACTAACATAATTTAATTATAAACATTCAATTAAAATTAAACATGTTTTGTTTCTCTATAAAAATTGCATTCAAATATTTTATTCTATTTATAGCTGCAATACTTCACTTTGTTTAAATTAAAAAATATTTTCTTTTTACAATAATTAGTGTAAGGTTCATACTAAGGGCGTTCCGTAGTTTCTCACATTGGTTTATAAAATATTATTTTATTTTACTCGTTATAGTATATTATATCCGGTTCGCTTATCCGCAAGCGCAAACATTATTATATAATATTTTATACTAGATACCTTTACATATACTATATTTTGCTTGTATGGCACCATTATCGCTGTCTTTAATAACACCGAATCTTTTTTTCCTTTTTACAAATAGACGGTTGAATGACTTTTAACAAATACCTACAAGCCTGACTTAAACGCGCTACAAAAGTTATACATCAGACGTCAGCCTAAGTTTTGTTTATTGCTTTTTGCACGCATTTTGAAGTGATTGATTCCATTTCTAGCTTGAATATAATATTCACTTCGATTGGTATCGTGCATAAAGAAAAAAATATATTCTAAAAAATACGTTTTTTACAAATAATAATAATCTTTTCGCACATTTCACTCGAAATTGTTCTTATGCGTAAAACTAAGACGGTACACTAGTGGCTACAGTAAGTTAATACAACTTCTCAGACTTACAACGTATTACCATTTTAATAAAAAAAATGCTATATGATGACTACTGAAACTAAAAAGGTACTCAATATTGTTTATACGGACGTTTCTTTATATATTAATGGTAAAATTAAGGGATTTTCAATAAGTCAACATCCTATAGAATGTTTACTAATTTGAATATTATGACCCAATTCTTAAAGAGTTCTGATAATATTTGTATACAACAATGTACAAGTTTTATATGGATTTTAAATATTGTACATACTATATAATATATAGTATTTATTAACATCCGGCTCAACCCGGGAACGCGTGTAACAGTTAGTTATTTATTTTTGGTAGTCATAAGTCATGTTTATAAGTAAAATGCATACACGTTCTCTATAGAAAATGTTTATTGAAGCAATAACGAAATATTTTATAAATATATTTACCTAATATTCCGCAAATAATGTTAATAATATTTTTGAAAAATCTAACGTGCCCGTGACCTAAGTATAACAGCTGCGTGGAGTGTTACATTTAAGGTAATTTTCGTTTAACAGTAATTTGTCACATAAAAAAAAACAATAACGTGTAAAGTGATTATAATATGATTTAGCTTTTAATAATTAATATCTTCATTTCACGTCTAATTGTATGCAACGCCGCTATTTGTTAAGCCAAATGTTTTTTTTTGCTTCCTATGATAAATAAAAATATTGAAAATGAAAATAGAGTAACAAAATATTAGACATAATATTACAGGTAGGTACCTAACATACTTTTATTAAAAGACATGTTATCAAATTTCCACTATAATGAGTTGCTAATAAATTATTTATCAAACCAATGGTCGTAGAAAGAAAATGAACATTTATATAAGTATATAAACTTGATCACAATTTTGCTATTTTAATGTATCGATTTTCTTGTACGATAGATAGCAGGATAACCCCATGTCAATCAAAAATGTAAAATTTGATTTGAAACATCAAATTAATATTAAAAATTTTTTACGTCCATTTAGATTTTTGCATTGATGGCTTCATTGTTGATAATCATGATGTAACCGTATGGCATTTTTGGCATTCCTAACTTCAGGAATACCTCGAAACGCATTACAATGAACGAATATTTTTGATTTCTATTATTTGGGTATTTCACAATACCCGATAAATATCGGCGAAATGTCTGACGTTTAAACTGAAATTAAATTATTTGCGTACCATTGAAATGTAAGAAAACACTGTTAACCCTTAGGGTTTAATCAACCCTGACATCATCAGCACTGTGTGCACTGTAATCATTGAATAACTGATCATATTAAGAATTCCCTAGAAATAATGTTGGACCATTGATCGGTTTACTCACTTCAGTTTCCTGTTGGATAAATAACTTTCATTAAACTTAATAATACTCTTTACAACAAAAACGTATTATTTTATGAACTTAAGACACGAATTAACAGAACAATACATTGTACAAACCAATATTTAGATACTATTAAATTAGACACCGTATAGAATGGAATTTAACTATTTCTAAACAATAACAACTTTTAATTTTAATCTAGTGTAATAGTTATCATTAAAATTATTATTATTTTCTTCGCACTTAAAAAAAACTGTAGACTATTTGAAAATATCGGGTAAAAAATGTTTTATGTATTAAGGTATGTATAGTATTGATATAGCCTATAAACAACAAATTGTTATTATTATTATTTATTGTGTGTGGACCGTGATTAGCCACATATTAGTTTTAAACATAATCCACATTTCAAAACCCCTGTATAAACATAGGTATAACGTTCAAGGTAATTTATCAACTTACTTCCTAATGTTATAAATATCGATACGTGACTATCGCTCACATTTGGAGCTTATAAATGGTTAAACGCTCTGCGTGTGCGGTTACTCGAAAGTCACCACCGTGGCCTGTATGATCACGAGGGCTTAAACAACAACACTAATTTGAAAACGTTAAAAAATAATGATTTTAAGTGACAACATGATATATGTTCATACAGTCACAGCGAAAAATAGTACCAAGAAAATGCTCGAGACAAATTTGATTTTGTGACAGGTTTTAATGGTTTATGAAATGTAAGTATGACAGCTATATCTTTTTGATTAGATTCGCCCTTCGGCCCAAAAACTTTTACACCATATAGAATTAATTGAAATTCTGGTTTTTTTTTTTTACTTGAGCTCTAAGTATTAAAAATAAAATTACACGAGCAAGTGTTGTGGCTATACTATAGTAAAGGAATTATTTTCATGGATACTTGATATTGTTTAATGGCTACACACGCATAGAATATGAAACCGATAAGTCTTCTAAATAATTTGAAATGAACATTGTAACGTACAGTTAAGAATAATCCGATTTGTCTAATACACCTAATGTACTATTCAAAAAAACACTAAACTATCTCCGTTATCTTTTTAAACACCTCTATTAGTTGTTCTAATTTGTATTGTTTAGGTTTAAACGTACCTATTAGATAACACTAATTGTATATCAATAGAAAATATTAGAAAGAAACTTCAATTAATTAATTCGTCTTATCAAAACTATAAAATATAATTTGATTTAATTGGTTTTGCTGTAGAGTGAGTCCACGTGATTAGTGAAGTGTTGTAAAATTACAAATTTAGTGTATGAGATCATTAGGAAAATATAGTTGTAAGATAGTTCTATTTTTATATGGTTTTAGATAAAAATAAAATTGAAGGTACTTGACCTCATTGTCTATATTGACCATAGTCAGTCAAATTCAAGGATAAACATGTTATTTGCGTTGAAGACAAACGATGACGAATCACATTGTTATGCATAATAATATATCATACGCCTAATATAATAGAGATTGTTTTTCGTTTTCGGAAAACGAGAACGGAACTCTATTCTATACACATAATAATATTATATAATAATTCAACACAATTATATTACATCATATAGATTGTCTAACAGATATGGGAATTATTAAAAAAAATAATCCATTAAATTTGAATTGGTATTATAGGTATATAGGTATATTTTTTTTTTTTTAGACTTCGTACGTACAATAATAATAATTATATCCCAACAAATAAATATGTTTTACAATAAGAGTTAACGTAATTGCCCGAAAACTCTTTAATGTAAATTTTTGATGTATATGGGATACATGATTTTGAGTTTGCAGGACAAAAATATAATTTTTAATTTATGATCAATAATGTATAATTTTGGTCTGTGAAAGTGTATTATTATTCTTATAATATCTACTTTGTGGATTATAAGTTATCGTAAGATGACATACTTGTAAATGTAGGTATTTTAAAACATTATAATTGCATTATAATGATTGCATTCAATACCTAGCTGATAATAACCGTCAATGACAGCAACATAAATACTTCAATATGAGTACTACAAATAACTCTTTACGACAAACGGATGGATCTTACATTAGTATATTGTATTTACTATAACTTATTTATATCATGAGTGTTTATACATAAGTACATCATAAATATGGTTTCTATAAAACGTTTATAACAACACCAGGTATAAAAACATATTTACTTATTGAGTAAATAAAAAATTATTTTTGCGTTTTCTATTTAAGAGCACATAGTAATAATAATAACAATATTAGACATTGTCTGACCAAAATTTTGTGTTTTATATTTCAATATTTGATACAAATATTGTTGATGTTTGGAAAAAATGTGTAAGTACCAAGTATAGGCATATGCATAATATGTTTAGGTGTGCTAAACGCTAATACATGTGTACATACTGACTTGTATGCAGTATGGGTTAAAAAAAAAATGCTTTACAGCTTTGCGTTGATGTTACAAAAGGTCAATTGAAAAAATTACCACAGATAACGGGTATAATATCCACCCAACGCCAAGTAATTTTTTAATGTACAATTTACAAATTATAATATAATATTAGTGTGTCATGTACACTAATAAGATTAGTGAATTTATTATATTGACGGACCGCAATGGTTGGACTTTGTTTTGTAATTTCCATATGTCAGTACTGTGTGGTTTTTTGTACGCATATTAAACATTATAATATATATCGGACTATTTACCTATCTACACTGTCAAGGTGACGCATACACGGTTTAATGGTAATTACTTAATATAAAATAATCTACATTATTCTTATTGTTTTTATCGGCTATTCTCGGAGTTGGTTTTATTGCCGAATGTAGATCACATGAACATATACATTTTTCAAAGTATCCAATAATATATATATATTATATAATATGTTGTGATAACCGATTAATACCGCAAAACTGCGCGTGTTACAATCTGTGGATAACACATGGTTTTAAATCATTTGTAAGACGTTCTTGAAAGATTTCTCGTCGAAGTGAAAGGCAGACAGTTTTATTACCTATCACGTTGTTCCTATGTGCCCGGTATTGTCAAAGGATTAGCGGATGTGGTCTTGTAGCGCACTAAAGTCTACAAGACGTGTAGTGTCGTCATAACTACTTCGTACGTTCTTAGAGAGCATGCCATCGAAAAAGATACTTGGAAAATCTAGACGAGTTGCATATTACATTACAACCGCAATGCAATAAATCTCCGTAAGTAACTAATTCGTAGTAAATGATAAAATGTAATATGATTTTGTGCGTTAAATCAGTAATTTTTTTTGCCAATTTTTTAGAAATGAAAAAGGGGACTATAATCACAATAAATGTATTATATATTAAAAACAAACAATTTGATCATTGTGCGTTTTAAAGGGCGTCGCACCGCCCATTTTTAAGGAGTAAAGTATAGGCAGTTTTTTACAAAATCTTAATTTAAAGGTTAAACTGTGATGTGTAATTATTAGTTCAATAACTAGGACTCTATTTTGGTAGTTAATTTATTTTTTGAACTATCACAGCATCCTTGAAAGCGATTTAAAAATGTTTTTTCATCTTTACATGTTTAAGGAAACTGAAAATAACTTGCTTAATTTTTGTATTAGTTATGTAATAGTATTAAATTTTCCGTAATACACACGTTAGTGCACCCCGAGAAACTTGAGTGACTGAATACATAATATATAACTCAACATAATTAGTTTTTGACAATAAATCGTCGCATCGTTTTGTTTATGTAAATAATTGTAAAAAACGTAATGACTGTTTATTGAATTAGTTTTAAAATACCAATTTGATTACAAACACGGTTTATAACGTTTCTAAGTAAATATTTAAATTATTAAATGACAAACACCATAATTTGAATATTATCAGAGTAAAATCAATTGACAAAAGTAAATCGACGTCATAGCCACTCTATTATTTGGTGACGAAATATGTTTGATTAATTTATATAAGTTAGCAACACTTTTGTTTTTATCAATATTATCGATATTACATTATAACGTTAACACTTACAAAATCCCAAAATAGCATTTTGTTAGTTTATTTAAAAGGGATAATATCCAGAGATTATTTTTTTAAAATCCTTTTCTCGGTTTAGCGTATTGACAAAACTAATGATGCGGTAAGAGTCTAAATGATGACGTGGATTTTAATATGTCCTTTTTTTGAAAATATTATTCATATCGACGATTTAAACACTTTGTATAACTATTATCTTGTTAACCATAGTGCATTTTAACCGCTTATAACAATTTTGTATTTGTTGTGTTATACAATATAAAACGGTTCCTGGTCACATGAGTTGATTAGCATTATACATTATAGAGTAAATATTTTTACATTTTTGCATGGCTGATAACCCTTGTACAATGGTTCAACCAAATTCATAACTGTAATACGTGTTCGCCAGCTGATAAAATTTTCCTTTAACCGTTTGTCGAAATACCAACATTAGGTGGAACGTTGAACGGTTTCATCTTACCGGCCGAAATAGTCGGGGAGAAGGCATTCTGTTAAAAATGTTTATAATAATATATTGATTACTTATTAAAAACTTATTTAATTATCTATATAGTATTATACATTATAAATATTTATAATATAAAATTAAAATATTTTGTTTTATAAACATAAAAAACAAAACTCATACCGCACAGTGGTACAAAATAAAAAATGAGGTGGCCAAAAATAAAAAAATTAAAATAGAAGAATACAATTTTTTTTAGGTTGTTATATTGTTACAGTACTACTTAAATTATCTGAAAATAAAAATTAGAATACAAAATATTAATTTTACGTTTTACTTACCTGTTTTTGAAGTTAAAAGAATGCTAGTTCACGATTTTTTCGTACAACACATCATTAATATTATCACAAATCATATATTGAATGAGTTTAATTGTTCTAGTTTTCTCAATTATGTATTGTATATCATAGTCATAAATGTATCATAGCCAATCTATAAATTAAATTAAAATCAATTAGTATTGTATACGCTAGTGTTTGTAAACCTTAATTTAAAAAATGTACAAGAACATAACAGGTAGGTTGATAAGATTACATTTTTGTTATATTTATTCACTGAACTTCACGCTCATATACACATACAATAGATCTTATATCGAATAAGATTATGTCTAAATTAGCTGCTCATATCTGCTCTACTGACGATAACACATACCTACTTGAATCAGAAGTATACATGAAATCCGAGGTGTACTCAATTAGTTGTATCGGCGCGTTTGATTCATTAAGTATGTCTAGAAATCCAAATTATTACTCGGTAAGATTTCTATGAAAACATTATATATATATATATGATTTGTGGTAAATATTAATGATATGTTATACGAAAAAATCGTCGGTTAGCAATCAAATTATTTTCGATTCTTCCAACTTGAATACCAGGTAAGTCAAATTTCAAATTAATATTTTGTATTTTAATTTTAACTTTAAGATACTTTAAGTAGTACTGTAACAACATAAACAAAATATACATACATTTTTCCATTTTTATTTTTTTAGTTTTGGCCACCTTTTTTTGATTTTGCACCACTGTAATCTCGTTTTTACATTGAAGCATACAATTGTTTTTTTAATTAAAATATAATGTCTCGGTAACTCCGGTTAGGCTCATTGTAGCCAATGCCAATGATTTTACAAAGCTTTAGTTAAATTAAATAAAGTAATGTATAAAAATAATAAAGACAAAATACAAAACGTACAACAATTATGAGGTTAACGATGTGTGATTTATATTTAACAGTTAGTGATTGTTTTTTTTATGTTGGAGTGTAGTGCTGTCTCTTTTATGAACTTGAGTACTATTGGGGTACCATTGGGGTCCGTGAGATTATCTGACAGGGAGTAAGACAATTTACGAAGCTTATGTTGTTGTTCATACATCCTACATTCTGTCCGAATGTGTTTGTGCTGCAAGTTGGACATATTGGTGCTTCTTTATTTTTCAACAGGTAGTCATGTGTAATTCTCGTAAGGCCTATCTTTAGGCGGTTTATGATAATTTCTTCTTTTCTGGACAGTGTATTGGGCCAAAAGTAAACAGGACTTTTTATTTCGTTTAATTTTGAGTCAGTCTTGTCCCTTTAATTTTGCCATATATTGTGATTTTTTTGTTTGCTTATTCTTTTTATATCAGATAAAGTGTAAACTTGACATTAGACTGCATTGTTGAAGAAGTGACACCTTTTGTTAGCTTATCGGCTCGTTCGTTGCTATTTATATCAGTGTGGGTGGAAATCCATATGATTTTTATAATAACTTTTTTTCTTTGCAGAGAAAAGATTAGGTTCTGAATTGTTCTAGTAATTTCGTTATAGCTTTGGGAATGTTTTTGAAAGGCTTATTTTACAAAAATACATTATAGTTTTATTCAGTTCTACAATAGCCGCCGAGCTACGAATGATTTTTAATTAAGTCTGTAAGACAATAAAATACTTTGATACTCAACACCAATTACATCTACTTTATCAGCTATATTATTAAACATAACTAGACTTTGAATTCTAATTTTTATTTTATACATAATTGTTCTTACTAAAGTGCAAATCAAAGTGCAAACACGTTTTGGTGTGTTTTTATTTCCTCGATAATATCTCGTTTTCTTCGTATTATCAACATAACGTATCTGCTCACTATTGTTGTAATGCACTGAATATTGACCTACGATTTACATAACGATTATACGCGCCATATCATTACAGTGATTATATAAAACAATAATATTACTATTATTTATCATATATATGTATATATATATATATATATTTAAATAAGTCCCAATAGCTAAACGATTAGATAAGAAGCATAAATACCCATATAATAGTATAAATAGATCGGAAATAGTATACTGTATAGAATCATAAAGTAATTATAAGATAAGAATGTTTAAATATAGAAACGTGGGAGTCAACGTTGTTTTCCGCTTGATCTTGATGTCATCAATCACAATTGGACAAAACCGAATCGAACCACCAGGAGTCAGAACTGTTGCCGTTTTTGTTAGAACTTGATTAGTCGTCGGCGGTTGTTGTCGGTGTGCAGCTGTAGTTCGAGTTCCTTAAACGGATTATTGTGACAATCGTTTGCGTTTAAAACCGCGGTATAGGGTTCGCGTGACATTTTCAGTAAGAAAACCAAAAAACAACAAATTAACACTATTATGAGACCGTCTGTAATAGTGGCGGACTATTTGTCCATCCACGGTGTTACCATCATATTGCTGGTGTTGGAAATCAAATAAAATTATCGCCGGCCCTATCGCGTTCCACCTGACAATTCGGTGGAGGCAGATACTGAATATTTTACACGAGTACGAACAAAATAAAATTATTACCATTAAGATGCAATTGTACATGACGAGAAATTACAGAGACTCTTTAAATGGATAATTGATTTTAGACTAAATGTGAAGTATGATAGGAATATCCACTTGAAAATTTATCCGAATTCTGTAGCTTGCCTACATTAGCGAAAATAACAGAAGCAGCTGATGGGGGTTCTTTTTTTTGTAAAATCGTTAATAAGGAGTGAGAAATGATCAACCAATTATTATTATTACTAAGCGACAATTAGTAAAAATGATTAGTGCATTTAGCAAATATCGAAATTCTATTTTTTGTACTGATAAGTAAAAGTTAATGCTGACTTGTCTAAGATGTTTGTAAATATTATATTAAAGCCTACGAATAATATATATATATATATATATAATTCAAAATGGGCTATTACTATATAGTTATTGATTTTCGTTAGAATGTGTTAATAGTACCTGTTGATGACAATTGACCAATAAGGTAGACCTTATTTAAACATAACACACCTAATGCATTTGTTTTTCTTGTTATCTCTGTAATTATTCATCTTTTCATCTAGTACATTCCAATCAAACTGCTCGTTTACATCAATAAAAATCTTTGTCGATAGTAGATAAAAACTATTTTTATATTAACTAATGCCGGAAAAGTAAAATAACTTTTCTGGCCTTTTATAAAAATAGAAAAATCGCCCAATATACCTCCCTCTCATCTACATAACTAATTACACCCAACGGTTGGCCTTTTTTTTTTTGTAAGCGTCCGAATGAAAGTACTTTTGCTTTGTACATTAAATTATTACAACGTTTGGATTGGCTTTTGCAGGAGTCAATTGAGCGATCACACCGCACTCTAAACAAAACTTGAGTATCGAAATGACAATGAGGCTGTTGACAATTGCCTGGATGCTGATGGCCGTCACCACGTGGATCTGTTGCAGCTGCGAGGGTGCCATATTTTACGGGCCCGTAGATCAAGAGCCGCGTTGGTATGTGCCGAGAAGTCAGGATATCCTCGACGTGAGTACTTAATAAAATGTTAATAATAATTACAGTAATTAAGGCCGGATAAATTTAAAGAGCCCAAGGCAAAAAATATTTAGGGGCCCCCGGAAAGTCCAATATAAAAATTATACTCATTTTTTCTAGCTTAGAATAAAATTGTATAAATTCAGAAAATTTAATTATTTCAGCCCAAGCAGTTTTCTTTTACGGCTACAAGTTTTTTAGCTGCATTTTGTATTTCTTCGTTCCCAAAATTAATTGAATGTCCAAAAAGATCACATATTACTTCTTATTTTGGGTAATTGAAGCTGACACAGTTGATCAATAACAGGTGAAAAACCTTCCACTTTAAATGTTTTATTGGCGGGTCTAATTTGACATTATGGACTTTGCCGAAGTGACCACGGCCTGACACAATACGCAACTTGGCGCAACAGTGATAATTGATTACACTGTCACGACCCGTACACAATTTTCTATTTCTTAAATATACATTTTTATTTTAAAACCAATTTTTATTTTATTTGATATAGGACCCAAATAACAATTTTTTTATATTTTGGGCTCAATGGTCCTTAAAAAAACGTGGAGCCCGGGACAGTTGCCCTTAATACCCCCTGTCAAATCCCTATGTCGATATTAATAATAATTAGTATCAATTTTTAATATGATTAGACTAACATATAGCATTAGAAAATCCTATATATGTAAATATCAGATATTTTAGATCATTTTCGGCAAGTCGTAATAACAATAATTTACATAGATCACGTGTCCAGTACTATTGGTATAATATATAGGGTCTTTACAATAATTATTTAACCGTCGAAACTATTTTGATATGAACTGTTCACATAGATGTGCGCTGTTTGACTAATGGTCGTTGAGATTTCAGTTAGGCCCGAGCAAAATATAACTACCCGGATTATACTTCAATGATGATAAGGTTAGTCTAGGTAATTAGTATCTTCCACTCTAAAACTACATTCATACGAAATGCGAATAACTCGTAAATGGAGAAATTAAAGTTAATGTCTTTTAATTATAACATCCGTTTTCATAAACATTCTGTTAAAAATCCATTTAAATTAAAACATAATTTAAGAATATGATAATATACTCATATTTTTAAAAACTAAAAATTATAATTATAGAATCGTGCATTACAAAATGAAATTTGGACATTTTAATATAAACAAAAACTAATAAATTATTTTTATTTAATTTTTATTTAGTCCTCTAAATCATTAATTTTTTTTTTACATTGTTCAAGTTTAAAGTACTAATTAATACTAAGTAGCTCGCGAGAGTAACTTAAAAGTCAAATAGCTACCCTTATATTTAACTATTAAAAAAAATGGTATGATTTTAGAAAACAATGTTTTTCAAGACCTTTCTCTTGGCCTTGAGCCTAGTTCTCTTTAAATTTTTGCCTTTGTACTCGTATGAATAAAGGTTTTTTTGGAGGAGGAGCGCTGGCTCCGACGCTATTCAAAAACATTTCTCATTAACAGATAGGTTACGTCGTTACGATGACGTGATGTGGAAAAATGGACGTCTACAGTGTACATCAAAATACTAAAACATTATGTAATCGCCATTAATTTGCTTATTAAGAGTGAAATTATTGTTTTCTACACCTAATAGTCTAATTTATGTTAACGATTCTGCGCGTCACAAATACTACAGAAACATATTATAGTAAGAAGAAATATTTTTTTAAAAAACCCCAAAAAAATATAAATTCAAATTATAATCACAAAACGTACTTAGAACCGCGAAAAAAAATATTAAGCCACGTTGTTCTGATATATTGAGACTCTTGTACGTGACTATCATTAATAGAGTTTTGCGTAGATACATTGGTGCAATGTATTGATAGCAATATTATACGGCAATTTATGTATATATATATATATATATATATATATATATATATATATATATATATATATAATATATATATATATATATATATTATATACATAATATTATAGGGCAATTTAGGAATCGTGACGTTTTGCCAGGTTGTACAAAAATAACCTAAGCCTCACATCATTATTATTATTACATTTTGAATAATACATCGCCTTTTTTGCATAATATTGTGTGTGATAATCTATTCATTTTGGTGGTTTTAGTTTTTCTACCGCAGTGTTTACACGATGGAGACTGAGTTTTTCTAAATTTGAGATTCGGTGTAGTTCAATGAGATTTACTATGACTATATTATGTGATGATTAAACCTCGTGTGATTAAAAGTGAGGTTATAAAGTAAGATGCAACTAAGGGTTATTACTTATTACAATATGTACAACGTGTGAATAAAAAAAAAACACTTATACCTGACTTGCAAGGTCATTTCTCCGTGCTCGGTTGGTTTGGCAAGTTTTTTAACGTTTTAATGTGTTTTTACCACGATAAATCCACCGTGTGAACCTCGCGTGGTCAATATTATTACAATCGGGCTATGTTTTGCCGTATTCCGCATACGCTATATTTATAGGTATATTGTTATTGTGTGTGTCGACGACGGTGTATAACTTTAAGACAAACGAGAAGCCAAGTCGGGCTTAGCCGGTCTAAAGTGCATTAGATATTGCGTAGGCAATATGTGTGTATACACATTCGGTGAAAAGCGGGCAGCGGCACCACCTAAAACCCGTGCGAAATCCGTCTTATGCGTGTGTTTTAAGTTTTTTATATCTACCACCGAGAGCTATTCTGGTGTTTTTCTAAAAAAAAAAATCGGTGTTTTGTATAGCGTTAACTCGCAAACGACGATGACGCATTTCACCGGTAACGTCCAAATTAATTTGCTCTACTTGATTTTGGAAATAGTATTTTTCACTCTTTCATAATATGTTACTGATTTTTTTAGAAAATATACAATAATATATAAGTATAATATGAGATATGATGTTGAAATTATGCCTACATGAATAACACTCGCCTTATTGTCTCATCAGGAAGTCGTTTCGTTTGTGGAACAATATTGTTATTTAGATAATTGTATGTTAGGTCATTCGTCGACGTTATTGCAGCTGATAGCGTTCGGTTTATGCGCCTATTAGTAAGTTATTGTATTGAAAGTTTAGATTATGTTTTTTTCTTTCAAAATAAAAAACAATATAAAATGTAATGTATAATAAACTAAAGCAAAATAATAAACCTACATATGATATCATATGGACTTATCTTTACCGAAGCAAATCAAAATATAGTATTGTGTGGTGTGCCGGACCAATACATTTTATTTGACCCGGAAAGACGGAATATTAAAATAGTTTTATCATTTAATCCTTAAGAAAAACATAATACGTATGACCGAAGCTGATTGGATACCGCTGGCTTTTGGGTTACAAGTTTCAACATCATATCTCATATTATACTTATATATTATTTTATATTTTCTAAAAAAATCAGTAACGTATTATTGTTTATTAAAGGTTTAACAATTTATACATTATCGTTACAGTGCCATTATCAAGTTACTTGTATTATTTATTTTAGAAAAAAAAACAAAAAATGTATTTTAATAAAATACAATTTGAAGCTTTAAGTAATAAACGATAATACATAATTTATCATTTAAAACAATAATTATCAATATATTTTAATATGTAAAATTATTTGGCGCACTAAAAAATTGTGTTTTAAACGATTTATCATTTTAAAATCACTATTTTTTTTAATTTATATTAAAATTAACCAGTTATGCTCTGTTAGTAAAGTAAAAAAAAAAATTTAATTTAAATTGTAATTTTATAACAATATTATTGCAAATGCTCGTTTAAAACTCAAAACTATTTTCTATATACTACAATATATATTAGATGATATTATAAAATGTTGAGACGTGAGATGTATGGAGTGAAATACATATTGTACCTTACAGTATAATAATAATAACACGTATAGGTACTTAATAATAGTATGCTGTACAGTACGCTTTTGGACTTAGCCATTTCGATTGATGATCGTCAATACAAGTAAAAGTTACCATTTACTTCGTTAAGTGAACACGCGAGTTATGACTACTAAACTCAGGTTTGTAAATGCCGTCAAGGGGTCCATTTTCGCTTTCAACATCACATATTATAATTATGTACGATAAACATTATATGACTTCTATTAGAACAGAGGTATTTTTTGTCGGTTAATGTTGACACGCTCTGCTTGCAGTTGTTATAACACCTTTACTGTTTCACATCGAAGACAAAAAAAGAAAACGATGCAAATACTTAACTCAGTTTTTACTCGGCGCGCGTAAAATATTATACCTACTTAATTTGCAAAACTTGAATAGTGTTTAAAGGTTTATAAACAATATTTTAAGTAAAATTGTTTTCTTTTTTGTTTTCTTTAAAACTTTGTTTTACTCTACTTAAACAAACATTAACTACGAAGAAAACAAATCATTTTTAAGCCTATGAGTTTCTTTAGAAAAAAAGTAATTATGACAGATTATTAAAATTAAAGTTTAAAAAAAAAGAAATAGATCAGTTGCGTAAAAAGTGACTGTAGAAAATACATTTTTACCAAGTTATCTTATCATTTTTTTTGCTAAAAAGTTTTTCTTTTTATTGTTATGAATAATTAATTTATTGTGTTGGTGTCAAATATGAATAATTCGGCGGTAAATAAAGATCATATTTTCTCATTATCTAGGTTCTATCGATTGTGTCGGGAATTTTATTATAAGTTTGTAAAACTCTTGTCGTGGATTTTAAGCAGAATGAAACCAAGGCGCTCATCTTAAAGAATAATTTATGAGTTCACCTGCTGCTGACTTACAAATGTATTGTAGTGCCGACACAGTTTCAAAAGAATGCCTTTGGGAAAAACTGCGCCTATCTGTTGCCATTATAGCAACAAAAAAAGTAATAAATAATTCTACATACTCGGCATTTCAATTATTTTATTTGAGAAATTAACGAAGTAATATTTTTTTAATAATAATATCCATCGATAAAAACTTTCTTTTTCGCTATATCACTTAAAAGTACACATAAATGTCCTTTCACTCTAGTCTCCGCGTTTCTCACAACCCGTAATCAATCTTTGTTTTTTTTTTTTTTTTACTCCATCACTTTCATACTTTGTTTTTATAAATAATTCGTCCTATTTTTTAAATTTTATATTTGGCCCTAAATATCTTCTTCTTAAAACTCTTTGATAGATAGTTACTTAAACTGTTATGTGTTAAACGATATGTGTATATAGAAGCAACCAACTACGTGGTTTATTTAGAGTGTAGCTCTTTATTAAATTAACAAAATTATAGGCAGTACTTGAACACAAATATCTACATAGATTTTGATCGTGTCAGTTTTGGTTTGGGGTCAATTTCTATAAGATTTACAATCGTTCACTTGTACGATTGTCCTTATATTGCTGTTGGTGATGGTGAAAAAATGACTTAAGGTAGAATAGTGGTTAATTTGTTTCATTAGTGGTGTAATTGCACCGTGGTGCGTACAATAAACGACGTGTGCATGTATATAGTACATTCTAGGTTATAGGTAGGTACAATACAAACTATTGCTGTACGGCTGCTATGGCGTTAAGACGAGCGGTCGTGGTTTTTATACTAGACAGTGATTTATAACTCGGGACGAATATATGTCTAACAATGTAACTGGCATAGTCGAAACGAGAGTTGGAATAGCCAAAAGATTAAAATATCTATACATACAAGGGGTAGAGCCGGTGGTGATTAAAACCGATGGTTTACTATACATATACTGTATAATGTATATAGGTATAAAATGCCAGGTATATTCGGACGCGGTGTGTATGTGTGCTTAAGACACGGCCAGGGAAATTCTCTCACGTTACAACGACAATGATATTGTACGTCACTAGGTCTTATCCTGGAAGTTTGTTCACTGTGGTTTTATATACAACAGAAGATAAACCGGCCGAGCACTTTATGGACGAACTCGGTTTATAAGGCTTGACAAGCGTAGAATCCGCGTGTTAATAATAAATAAGTTACGACAAAAATAAACTGGAAATCTACTATGTACATTCACTGACTTCAAAACTATTATATACACGAACGAACACTTTTAGGTTTCTGGGATTTTTCACACTACTTAAAAACTTGGTCTACAACCACGTAGAATAAATTATAGGTTGGAGATGGATACAGGTTTTGAGTATATTGTGAATTAGTAAAACAAAGCCTAACTTGTACTTGTTGATATCTTATTCACACTTAATCCTTAACTTGGCGTTGTACGTTGTTAGATTTTTACCAAATCCAAAACATCTCCATAACATTAGCAATTAAAATCAACACCGGTTACATAGAAAACAAATTTCTTACATTTTAATAAGATTGTAAAAACTAAAAATATTATTAAGACTTCAATAATGTTACAACAGCCAGCAGACAATCTTAAATTGATATCTATAATTTTGCGATCATCCATCCCCCCTCCCCATTAAGCTTCGATACCTCGACAGGACTAGGGCCCTTTGCGCAGGACTCCTTTACCAGTACTAGTGTCAGCAGTCGAACAAAAATATCAAATATTCGTATTATGTAATATATATTTTATTTTTATAGTGATACAATTTTACTACTTAAATCTTCAGAAGACGGTTTAATCGTGTTTTAACGAGTCCGACGCGTACATCGGTACTAAAGTCCAAGATTAATCAATCAAACATGCTTTAACAACGTCCGTACAGTGCGATTTCAAAGCGATTACTATTAAAAACACGAATTATCCACGGACGTTAAATGTCCGACTTTGGACTTTCGGTGGTGTTTAGAAGCTTTGGAATAACAGGGGCTGATCAAAGTGTCTTGTCAACCTTTCACAGACAGCTGTTCGCCATAGGTACCCCCTATGTGTGTAGGTTGGATTGAAACGCGCAATTGAGCTCATGATCCATTTTTAATTACTATCGGTCGAAATTTCCGTCGTTTGTCCTTTGGGAATTCGAACGGCGCTCATGTGGGTTTTTTTTTGTTACCGTCGTCACTGTGAAATTCAGATTCTTTTCAGAGGCACAAAGTAATAGGTTTTTGTTTTTCGCTCGTCCGATTAAACGTAGATTAATGTGCTGATGGAGCACGTGGGTATTTTCAATAATAGTTAAGAGTAATAAAACACTATTAAACCACCGAAAGTTCTTCGACGAGTTTTTATTAATGTATTTAAAAAAATAACTAAAAAAAAACAAATCCAACACTTTGGCGGGCCCTACAAGATTTATATTTGTCATGTACTTATACTTATACTTATACATGTAGTACTTAAGTCTTAAGTCTCAATTTATAATTTGGTGGTAAACATTTCTCATTTCTTGGCACTCCTCTCATTTTTGCTCTTATGTTGATGAAATCGCTGCAAGAGTTTTTTCCCATTTTTTTTACTCCTTTTACTACCTTTTCTAAAGTTATCATATAAGTTACATCCGACATTAATTCTCTCTTAAACCATAGAATATCTCGTATCTTGTCTCGCTCAGTTTGTTAAATTTATCGTTTCGTTCCTTTTATTAGCCCCGTTAGACCCTCCTTTTTTAAATTAAAATGTTTAACTAAATGTTTAAAAACCTAGTAGTTATAACTGTTAACTACTAAAACGGTAATCAGAGATGGGTATTGGTGTATGAAAACATATTTTGCCATATTTAATAACGATTAGGGTAATTAATTATAAACTTAATTAATTTGTTGGTATCACAACAACCATTTAAACGCCAATTTTCGGCGAATAATTTATAAATAATATAGTAGCTATTTTGAATCCTTTATAGTATAATATACTATATTAATAATATTATGTGACAATGTTGTTTGCTGTAACGAAAAAGAACCAAATGGATTTTTGTTATTAAGAACCATATTAGGTATATAAATATTGTGATTAATTTAGTTATTAATTTTATTTTCCAGACAAACTTGTTGGACTTACCCACGTTCGACAAGAGAAATGGAGGTTCGATGCAAGGCGAATCCCCCAGATCCCGGCCAAGCCTTTCAATCGTAAACTCACTTGACGTACTCCGTCAAAAACTCATGTATGAGGTGGCCCGGCGACACGTTGATGAAAACAACAAGGTGTTGACACAGAACAATCAAATACTAAGGAACCTGGGCAAAAGGTCGTTGATGTCCATTTTAGGAGTTGCGCGAAGGTATGTAAACAGTACACACAACTCGGATAATAGATTTATTTCAAAATTATAAATCCCACCCGTAACGTTAATTCTACTATGTATATATATATATCATTCAATTTAATGGACAGTGTGTACAAGAAAGTTGTCTATCAATTCTAAAAAATAAAAATAAATTTATTTTTGACAACAGTACAGATGTAGTTATTTTAATTAAAAAGTATTAACCAGTTCAATTTCGAACAGTTACATTCGTTTTCAATTTATACATTGGATTACATAATTAATTCACGTGAACAATTTCTCAGCCTAAGCCTTTTCTAACACACTGTGTAAACCTCATAGAAAATCAATGACCAATGAGGGTTGTATTACACCGAAAATTATATTATAATACATAGCTATATAATATTAACATATTCTATATATATGTATTGATATAATGTACAAATTATAATATAATCGTCGTCTGAAATAGTTTTCTTGATATTAAACAAATAAAAAGTTTAGTAGACAAACGCAGATATTTTATTACTAATTAATATTTAATCGTTGTTTGCTATTTTTTTTGTTGCAGGTTTTAAAACGGAACTATGAGATTTGTCTGTCTTATTGCGTTATTATTTAACGGACATTTTTATTTGTAACGCAATATTATTAATTAATTAATTTGTTGAATTTTCCTTACACGTAGACACCCATAATCTTAATTCTTAATACCGGTAACCGCGTTTTTGTTGTTCATTCGATCCAGTTTAAAATTAATGTACACACATGTATTAATCGTCAAAGTATAATATTTTAATTAAAAAATTATATTACTATTAATTTTAAAATATATTATGTATGTAATATTAGAATAACCATGAAAAATTTCCCTTTCCTAAAGCATTTATTATTCTATATTGTAACAACAGCTCTTCGCTATCGATGTTTTACTATTATGTTCCCAAAAAAAAAAACTTACAGTATTTTATTTTAATCTAATTTTTTGTTTGTATTGTTTTTATTATTATTATTTTAACCTTTTTTAGAGCGTCGTAAAACTATTTAATACCTGTTATTTTTGAATAAAAAATATATTATAATATTAATGGACGCTCTGAGTGTTTTAATAACGTCCTTTTAATAGTGATATTTTTTTATTTGTATACATAATATTTGATGTCAGTTAATCGTCTGGTATTTATAATATAATATAAGCGCACGTGTGACGGTGTAAGTGAAGGTGTGCTCGAGTTTGTGTGTCAAAAATCGAAAAAGTCAACAAAACCCGTCCTCGTCCAATTTTTCTTCGGCTGTTGGCCGTTATAGTGGTAACACACGATTAGCCGTATTGAATTCAATTCATCGCATTAGTCACGCCTGTCCATTGAACGGAAGCTCCTTCCCATCTAAACAATAATAAAATGTATTGTCATAATACAAACAGACTACCGCAAATTTTACAGTATTAAATCAATATGTGTTAAATCAATGTGTCGGTTGCAATACTCTAAGTTAAACCGTCTATAATTTGCCACATACAATTCTTGTTATTTAAGTAAAACACAATGGTGGCTCTAACGCGGTGGACGGCTAGTATTTTATTTTTTTTACGGTATAACCGAAAAGACAGTTTTAAACTACTGTATAAAACTTGATCAACAATAAAAGATCCAGCAAACATTTTGAAAATATTGCATACGACGGCGACGTTCAGAGCACATTAATTGTATACTGATAGATGATTTAGTGATATTAAAACGGTTGTCAACACTTTGGAGCGGGACAATGATTTTAGGCGGTTTAGCACCGCACTCGGTTCAAAATTGTGTGCGCATTAAATCCTATTGCAAGCGAATTTTGGTTCTCACTTTGTATGTATAAGACATTCGATCAGCAATAGTTGCGGATTGGTGTTGTTCACGTCGTCCGAGGCATTGGCCCGAGACGATCTGCAACCGCCAGTGTTATGATGTGTCCTCGTGTCAACAGTGGCGTAGTTCTCGGTCCCGCTGCACGAATAGTAAGTCAACGGAAATCTAACGCAAAAGTTAAGTATCGTTTTATTTATCTCAACAACAACATAGCCCTAAGGACTAGTCATATAAATATTCTATAGTTTTATTTGTACGCAACTAGCTGCCCGTGCACGCCCTGTTTACTCTCTTGTCAACTATCCAGGGACTAACGATTTCCTCTTATCATCATCACATTGCCCCATCTCCATATTCCCTTTCCTGTTCTCTCCAGCACTGCCACGTGTTTTCCTCACTCCTCCCAGTCCCTCCCCTTCTCACATTTAAACACAACGTGTGCCCTCGTCTCCCCTCAACATTTTACCGATTTTTATATAATATGAAAAATATAAAAACTACAAAAAAAAAACACACGAATCGGGTCAGCTATAAGCGAGCCAACAGACAGACAGACAGAGAGACGTTGCTTTTTATAATATGTTGAGCAAAATAAAATGCAAATGAAGGTAATAATAATTTATAAAAGTGTTAAAAAAGCAACTAATTAAGACAATTCTAAGAAGAAAACCTATTAGTTTGGTTATGATTTGTTTTTTATTACTGCGATTTTATGCAACGAGGGTTTTTAATTAAACCGGAATGATTGATTAATTTAAAAAAACAAATAATTAATATACATTTCTATTTTATTTATGACTAATTGCAAGTGTTTTTAATTTAAATTTAGTTTTTAAATTCTGTAGTGTTAGGGTAAAAAGGGTCCAAAATAAGACCAAGTTACGATTTTATAACACAAGGCAGTTAGTTTTATGATACTTTTTTACCACGCTTTATTATTAATGATGATTTATACATCATACAGTCAAAAAAAAGGATATATTATAAGTAGATATATTATTCTTGCCTACTCAAACACCACAGGTCTATCGAAACACTGATCCTCATCACAAATATGTATATTAAAGGACATAAAGGGACTTGACAAACAGGCAGGGTTGCTTACGTTAAAGGGTAAGTATTTATATTTACCAATTATTTAAACTGACTAGTTGCTAGTGAGTAAAGTCTAAAATATACATTTTTTTCACAAAACCTGTTTTTATGGAAGAATTTGATAGGATAGAAACAAGAGTCGCTTTAAGCAAATAATTTTCTTTAAGTTTGTTGTTAAAAAAATGGGCACACTTGTAAAGTTTTAAATGAAGTGGTGAGAACCAAAAGATATAAGTGAATGCTATACAATTTTACAGTAGAGCAAAATTAAAATTATTTTATCTATGTGTTCTCATGGGTGATGCAAATTAGTTTTCTTTAATGTTTCGTTTAAAAATTGCTGGGCAATTATTTTAAATACATTTTCATATTGATTATACTGTTTATATTGATAAAATAAGTAAAAATACAAGTATATTTCACAACATCTTTTACTAAAGTCGATTTTATTTCCAGCTCAGACGGTTAATCGAAATTGTTTATTTTTACAAAACGCTAGAAAAGTCACTCTGAGGGTTAATCGAAGGGCGTATAGTATGTTATAACATTAGCTACGGCCTTCGAAGTTATATGAAAATAATGGCGCGTTTCATCTCGAGGGAAAATAAATATAAAAAATGTGATTTTCTCGAGCCATGAGAATATTGCATACGTGTAAATGTGAATGACTTCCATACGGTATCATTAAGGTTCGTGTATTACCAACACCGGTGAACACATTATCCACTATAAAAAATTGTATTAACTTTCCTAAGGTATTTTATTAACTTCACTGCCATTAAGGCAAACAGCAATTTTGTTTCGCTACACTCTAATAACTAATAAGGTAGAATAAAATACTAAAATGATTATATTAACAGCTTTTAGAGAAATGTCTATCGTGGTTAAAATATTTTTTTGTTTAAAGCGTATAGCGTGTAGTAATGTTTAGTTTATATGCACATTTTTTCGGGTTTTAAGAGGAAAGGTTGAACTCTTTGCTACATGAAGAAATCCAGCGGTCTATATAGCGATTAAATGGGCCACTATACCTGCGTATTTTTGGTCGAAAACAACTCATTCTACTTCAAGCGTACTGTTCCTAAGAATACTCCGATTTCAGTTTTGAATAAATATTTGAATTTTTCATAACATTTTCAAAGCATCGATCGTGGCATAATTTGAAAATGATTTTTTGTTATTTAATTATTTCAGTTTAATAAAGTTTAATTTCAGTTTAATTGCAGCTTTTTACATTGAAATAATTAATTAACTAAAAATAATTTTGAAACTATGCCACGATGGATGCCTTAAAAATGTTTTGAAGAATTCGAATGTTATTTCAAAACTTAAAATTTAATCAAAGTATTCTTAGGAACAGTACGCTGGAAGTAGAAACATATGTTTTTGTACAAAAATAGATCATGCATGCGTTATAAAATTTGAAAAAAAAAAATTTAATAATAAAATAGATCCTACCAATGTTAAGTTTTAGTGAAAAATTTCCTATACAATGCGCCTTAATAAATGCTAGTGTAGGGGCCCCTTCAGAGATATTGTGGATACAGTTATAAAAATAAATAAAAACACATACATGTAGAACCACCTCAACCTTCCCAGCTTCTCGACAAAACTAAAAAATTAATATGAATTCATTTTTTTTTTAGGAAAAAAGTATGGAACATTTTAACGTTAAAAAAAAAAATATTACACAAAAAAAAATATTCCAAGTAGAACTCATAAATAAATTCGATGAAAAATTAAAATACACATCCAACTAATTTTTTTATAATTTAAAATGAAATCGGATATTGTTAGATTTGTTTTTAATTTAAAATATTGTTTAACTGAAGTATAACGTGTTGTTTTATATTAAACGTTTTTACACGAACATTGATTATTGAAACAAATATGACATCAGTGATCAGTTATTTACATTAAAAAACAAAACTTGAAATGACATTTCACAACTCAATATATTACTTTTTAAGTTTATAAGCAATTGCCTATAGACACTATATATTATCAAAGTTAAATATTTAGCAATAACAGTAGGAAACAATTTAATATAGGTTAAAATAATAAAATCAATGTAACAAGTTAACGCTTTTAGGGTAAGTTACATTTTAATTATTATTAGTTAACAATTTTGCCATAATAACAGCTTAACGACTATTATATATTTTATAATAGACTTCCTATTCACTTACTTAAGGAATGGGTTTACAAAAACCCAATGAAATTAATTTTACCGTGGTGTAGTGTTTTGTGTTACTTTACTTAAACGATAGGATTAAAAGGGATATTTTTCTAAAAATATAATATTAATTATAGTTATAATAAAAATTATTTAAATAAATAAAGTTTCGCCATAAATAATTACAAGAATTTTCATTCAATTTATTTGTTGATATTTAGCTATAACTGTAAAGACATATTATTTCGTCTACTGTATTCAATTTTAATACTTATTACGGCTTTTTCTTTAGGTAATTTTAACGAAAACCGTGAAATAACTTTCCGTAAACTCTTAGTTAGTGCGAAACTGAGGAATCTGTTAGGAGTTAGAAAACAATGCAAGTATCAACAATGTAAATAAAATGTTACCTACACTTTTTACATATATATGATAAAACTTTTTCTGTGATAGTGATTCTTTTTAATTTATTACCATTCACTTCGAATCGGTGGGCACTATTTTTTTATGCTGTGTCCACTTTGTGATGACTTGGGGGCTTGAATTTAGATCAGCATTGTTTTTATTTTATTTAAATACTAAGGTAAGTCACGCCGTGTATAACATAGAGGGTTTACAATGGGAGCCTCTCTATATAATACGACGTTATTTTAAAAGAAAGTACAAAAACACACATTGCATAAGGTTCGTAAAGAGTGTAAAACAGTCAGTTTTTTTTATTGAAGATTATGCTAAGGTTAAGTTATTTCCCATAGGTACACTAAAACTATAAGTATAGTATATGGTTTTAGAATCATAATAGAGGTAAAATGTATATTGTATATAGATAATATACAACTTACATGTATACCACGAGTTGTTTAAAATACCTGAACCATGTCGAATACATGAATTCTATGCATGTATTGTATTATTATTATTGTTATTATGTTGGACCTGCTCGTAAAAAATCCATCCATCCATTTATTTACTAGTTACTTTTTAAAACGTCTACTTTGTGCTAAAAAAATTAACTTTTATAGTCTCAAAGGTAGTCTCGTTTTTGGTTTTCGAAATGCCATATATATTCATGTAAAACGAATATAAATAGTATATATCATTGTAGGCAGAATTAGGCATTTTTTCTTCGAAAAACGAATATAACTAATTTTATTTTACATAATCCAAGATGATTTTTTCGAATAATTTTTTTAATCGACATAATCTAAGATGATTTTTTTGAATAAAAAAAATTATCTAAATAATGCCCAACTCTGATTGTATGACATTTAACAATATTAATTATTATTTTCAAAATCAATATTATATTATTTTGAATAAACTTGTAGTTGCTTGACAATGGCCGAGACAATAGCCCAGCCAGGGTAGGTAGGTATGTATGAATCGCACATTAATATACATTAAGGGACTGAAATGTATATAATACATACAGGTATATTATATTATTGCAAACATTGATTGATTTTGCCAAATATCAGACTGACTGAAAGGCAAACACTTTGTATTCCGAACAATTGTTCATTGGCACTGCGAGTTACAGAATTACCACGATAACGATTTTCATTTATAATTAAATTTTCAAATGTATATTTATTCACTGGGACGATAAACGCGAAAGTGGTAAATCGGGTCCATTGTATGGACGCATTCACTAATTATGACGCTGGGTACGATTTAACCGATGAAATTTACTCATAGTTTTGCCAACTCGAGCAATGTGTAATAATATTTATGTTTCAAGTATACAGTACAATACAATCGAGAAAATCGGCAAAATGCTCTTGGCACGTGTGTTACTCGGAATTCGATCTACACTCACTTTGCATTCATTTCAAATTTATATTCTTAGCTGTTTTCTTTACTTCGACAAAAATTGGTAACAGATTACATTACAACAGATAACAGGTTAATTTTTTTAATTATCTCCGAAATATAAATTTTAATTGAAAAATGTTTATAAAAATATGTTAAAATATTACAATATCGAACCAAATAAAATAAAAAATTTTAGTTAACTGTATCGAAAATAACAAATTGTAATTTACCCCATTTGTTGACAATCACTTCCACTTCATGGGTGTAATTAAGGCTACTTAGATGCCTAACCCTTTACTATAGGTTTTAGCTACCCCTAACTACTCGAAAAATATGTGTTTTTCAAGCTAAATACAATAGTAATTTACAGTTATATTCAATGTTAATCGTTAACATACTATTAAATTGTTGTACTGTGCTCTTTGGACGACATACCTGCGTTCGGCCAAATGATTCCTGAGCAGTTCTCTGTTGGTGTTGAATAGGACTCCGTAATGACCTTTGGCGCAAACCACCCATATGGGATAAGACGGGGTTTTCAGCCTCGAGCCCGGTATCTGTGTGATCTGCGCCGGTGTGGCCGTTTCTTCGTAGTGCACCAGCAGACCGACTTCGCTCCTTGCCAACACACCGTAATGCGGAATGGCCTGTAAATCGAAAGCCGACCAAAAAAATAAAACCAAACTGCAAAAATTTTTTTGAAAAATATCTTTTTACATAATGATGTTCGTCGCCGATGTTGATTATGCCGTTGTGTAGATTCGGAGTGGCTCTGCCGGTCAATAGCAGCGTTACTATACATATGGATCCCTCTTCGGCGTTCGATATCAGATAAGACTTTTCTTCCATCAAATCCGACATGGTCCTAAAATAAGGGTAATTTTGTAAAATCTTGAATCACTATGATCATAAGCTATAAGCTATAAGAAATAACGACCAAAGCGTTACTTTTGTCTTTTACCGCAACACAGACACACGTATAGACTTGCTATGTTTCGGGTTTCCTACAGTATTATGTGTTACCTATTTGGAACGGCTAACAGTCACTCAGTTTCAAAGGTAGACTATTAAAAGTTTATTTTTATTTTTATCAGAAGAACGAAGGTTGGGTATTTATTTTTTAAATCAAGGTCGCCTAACAGACATGCATATAAATTTTATATTTGATTTTAGTTTATAAATTGAAGTGAACAATAATTTTTCTTAAGAAAAAACTTGGGTTAACACTTAAATTTTTATAAATTATCATTGACCGTATGCTATATTAGAGTAAGCTCTTAATTTGGTAGTATTAGCAAAAACGAAATATAATTTTTGAATATTCGATTTAAAGAAAATTATAGGTTTAATATAAACATTTCTGATCTAAAATAACAACTATGTAGTCGAATTTCATACATTTAGCCCTTAAGAAAGAAAATGCAAGAGATCATAAAATCTTCGAAGACAATAATTGAGCAAATGATCAGTCAGATGTTACTTTTCTTCTTTACAAAAAACAAAAACTCCCTTATTATAAAATTCACAAAATTAATGATTGAAAAAAATATTCAAACAGGCAAATGTAATCATTAGTTACTAAAAGTAAAAACAATAATAGTCGCATTATCTTTTTAATGCAACTTAATAACAGTGCTATTAATGACTAATTATGTATACATTTTGATTTTTGCTGATTAGAGTGTTTTTATTCATTATGTGGAGTGTATAATAAATTAATAATGGTCAATAATAGTAATTAGTACAGTGATGATATTATACGTACCATCTATATGTTATCACTTATCAGTATGTTATAATAATTACCCCACATGACCCTTATATGTTACCAACATAACTAATAATAAATAATCATAATTTTGGTTTATATCCTTTAGCAGTCTCAATTGAATCAAAGTGATATCGAATTGCTTTTAGTTTAATGACCAAACATTTGTAAGGTGATAACAACTTATATGTTGTAAGAGTTTAATATGAAACTTCAAATATATTGCAAATTCTATTATGTGAGAACTTAAGTTAAGCATTTTGATTATCGAATTCTTTTACAACTGAAACATATACGGACATTAAATTATCTCGTGACATGCTTACCCAAATTCCAATGATCATATTACAAAAACAGAACGAGTGATTCGGTAAATGCAAAAATATATTGATTTAAGTATAATTTTTTATTAGAAAACAAATCTACATTGTAGTTATTCTTCGAACAGAGTAATTTTATGAAGTATAACGAGACGTAGTAGGTACTTAATTCAATTAACTCGAATTGGAAGTCCTATAGGAACACTACTAAAAACAGATTTTTTATAATTTACCGTCTACAGAGAAGTAAATTTACTAAAAATTGTTCGAAGAATGGTTAACTATTGTTCAATTTTGGAAAAATTGAAATAATATAATGACTAAATAATTACTAAAGAAATGTGTTTTTTTTTTATTGAGTAGACACAATTTTATGATCTTAGATTCACATCAACACTAAAGTACGCTACATGGTCAACTATTCGGTTGCCTTTTCTTTTGAATATCTATTATTGACTTTTGCATTATTAATTATAATTTGTAGTTATTAATTTATAATAAATGTTATGTATACTAAAAGTGTATCTTAAAAATATATAATTTTGATTATTAAAAATAAAAAAATATATATATTACTTAGACAATCCTCGTGTTAATACTGCACTGTATAACAGTAATAACGATCCAGGGCCAGGATCATCTTGAAACTGAAAAATGTATATTATAAAAATATATATATACATAGCCATATATAAGAACAAATTGAAATTTCAATGTAAATTAATAAAAAATTCAAATTTATTTACTAAATTTATTTGTATTAACTAAATTAGTTTGCCATTTCATATCTCACAAAGGCGTGTTGAGAAAATATATGCTATCAACAAATGGCATACATTTTTTATAAACAATAATTTAGGCCATAATGTGTTTTATAATAACGTTGATTTCAGCAACTATGGAATCTTACCAAATGCAAATATCTCTTGATGAAAATTTCTAAGTCTTCTACATTGGTCAGCTCGAATAAATGAAGCTGGAATGTAAAAACAAAATAATAAAACTATTTTTATTATAGTTTTTATATTCAGTCTGTCAAATGATAGTTTTTCCCTAAAGTAATGTTTGGTGTTGTATAATATCTGTCTACATTTTACAAACCTATTTCATATATTATGTATTGTAATTGCGGGTAATAAAAATTAACAAATTAAAAATCAACTTATTTATTAGGCAAAACATCTGTGCTCATTACAAGATAAAAGCATTTTTTTTAATTAATAATTATTAAAATGTTAGGTTTTCAAACACATTTATCTAGTACCTCCTTAATTAACTTAGTATATACTATATTGTACTACAATTTCGTGTTTTCAAGATCTGATTTTTATTGCATTCTTTACTTTAAACGTTATTATTCATATTTTTTAAGTTAAAGTTACTATGGTTGATATTGATGCTTTAGATTCATGTCCAACAAAATAAAAGAGACAATAATTATGTTTTTAAACGGAAAAAATATTATACTAAAACGAACAGAAAAATACACATTACGTATTCTGAAAATGCAACTTTAGTTGTTGTAAAAAATATATATTACTTATTAGGATGTTTATTTTATGAACTGTACTCATCGTTAAACGCCATTATATTAAATATTTAAATAACGGTTATAACGAGTACAATTTTGATATAAACTGAATTTCATTAAATGGTATTATAAAATATTTTATAAGAAACATTTGAAAACGTATAAATATGTATTTTATGTAATTTTAATAACTTACATTATATTTTGTATACCTACTCAGTACTCGTATTATATCATACTTAATGTTTTTAAAAGTACACTATAGTAATAGTGTAATTCATCAAATGTTTTTTCATAGCCTAATAAATATTTATCGATAAGATTGAAAAATATAACATCATATTTTATAGTTTTTAAAAATATGATGTATGTTATTATATATTATTGTTTTGTGTACAAAACGTATTATTGTTAAACGATAAGTTACTGTTAATGTTATCAACCTTTTCGGTAACGTTATCCTGGAAGTAGTTTAAAGAATGAGAAACATAACTTTTTTCTTGTGGTAAGCAAATGACGACTTGTTTATTTTCACCAGTTTTCCACAATATAGTGGTCAACGATCTACTAAGGGCGTCTAATTGTTGTTGTTTTGACGGTTTCAAACACCTGAAAACATACAATCGACGAGTAATAATAATGCAAAGTTTTCGACTGGTAAAATCGATCAATACTTTTTATTTTTACTCGTATATAATATAAAAAATATTTGTGTGAACACATATAAATTTATAAGAAACTGAAAAAGTGTTTATCTGACAAAATTGTATTGAAATAAAGTAATATGTACGTTTATATAAATAACGTCAAATAATTACACAATAAAATATACAATATTATGCGCAAAAAATTAAAATAAATTAATGCATTTTTGATCAAATAAACAGCCTTTTGTCTAAAACCTTAGGTATCAATTTTTTTTTTTTTTTAACTTGTATGGAAAATAAAAATATAGATTTTTTTTGAAACTTACGAACTACCACAACCGGTAAACAACAAGTGTTTGAGTATGTAACCTTGTATCGCAGAAAGCATGCCTCTGGTGCCATTTCTGCGGGCTCTCAACCCGTAAGACAACTCTTTTTCTGGATCGCGAAACACTAACCCAGTACGGAACCATTCGCCCCTTGGTGGTGTATCACAGGCCCCAAACACTGCCAACCGCAAAGCCTGGCAAAATAAATGTGTTTCAGTTTTTGATTTATCCTATGTTTACCATAGAGGTAGCAGAGAGCGTTAAAACTTTTCCAATTTCGACCTTAAAACTATTAAATATCCATTTATTTACGTTTTACTTGACGAATATTGCCTTTTTAAGTTTGAGTAATGGAAACATCCTAAATAATCAATTTTGTTAAAAATCAATAATCTGGATTATCTCAATTGTTTTTAATAAACGGAAAATACATATTTTGTAACAAGTTTTATTATTTAGCAAAAAAAAAACATGTAAATAATTTTATTAATTAAAAAAACTAAAAATTCGGATAACCCGGTTAATTTAGAGAATTCCCTATACAAAATTAGTCAACAATAAACAATTTCATCAGTATTAAATATTATAAAAAGATAAGACTGTACTCAACTTTTTATTTATTCTCAGAGCTTAAAGCTTCAACTCTCTTATAATCACTTACGACAGATTTCATTTGCTTACGTATTGAATTTAAACAAACTATACCAAATTTGAATTAACTCTTAATGATATTTTTTAAAGTGAAAAGTAGTATATGTATGCATGTATAAAATTAAAACGTTTGTTTCAAAAATGTAATAAAAGTGCGAGGTATTCTAAAATAGCATGTAAAAACATTAGAGAGTATAAAATATATAACGTATTATGCTTTATCATTTACACATAAACGCACATGTCAATTTTCCATCAATACTAAATTCCTTACAGTACAGCTAATATATATATATATATATATATAATATAATAATAGTATATATATATATAATAAAACAACGAGCCAGCAGTTTTTTGTAATGCGTGTATTTGATACTGACGAAAATGACAAAATAAAAAAACATCTTAGAACCATGATGATTGCTCCATCAACGTGGAAATAAATTATAAAGGAAGTCTACAATAATGGCGTTATATAGTGTCGACTTACCTTGGCTTGTTCCACGGTGATCGGCTGCCCACCCGTCACTGGTTCTCGACTATACTTATACTGTTGATTCCTAGCATACATAACACGGTCTGGAAAAAAAATGCAATAATACTTAATATAAGTCAAGGTCTTGTAACCTGACTATATTGGATTCCAAGTAAAAAAACAATGTACTGTATTTTATTTCAACCATAGCATTTTGATATTCATTATATTAAACCTGTGTAAATCTAGATCAATTTTACTATGCGGCCATTATACGATACGCAATATTGGTGCAACATAAACAACGTTGCAATAATAAGAAATCGATGGTAATTAATTAATGCCCCTTTATGGTTTCTAATTTCTAATTCCAAAAAGTAATCAAATATTAAACAACAACTTTCCATTCGCAATTTCAAGTTAAAAGTGTCTTATACATATTTCGTGAACGTTGGAGAAACTATTCTTTCAACTTCAAAGGCAAAAGTAATTTTTGATATTATGAAAATTATAATTTAAAAATAAATGAAAAAAACATTTTATGATCCAGTTAAGACTGAGAGAAAATTAATTTTTTGTTAGTGAAAATAAATTAGTATGTAATATCTAGTATAAGTATAGTTATTTATAAAATATGATATACTAGTTTTCAGTTTAAATCATACATTTAATAATATATTTGCGTTAAAAACTCGAAAATAAGTAATAATTTCAAATTAAGTAACAACTTAAAACAATATAGGTTTATATGGTTATAGTTAATTAGTTTAAAACTATATTTAATTTTTCTTTACTAACTTTCTTTTTCTTTAGCGATAAATGAAAAGGTCAGAACCAAATTGACACTAGTGAATAGTGATAATTACAGAACTTTACAGGCGAAAAAAGTCAAAATGTTTATTTCAATCTTCAGCTTTGGGTGTTATTAACTAGTATTGAAAATTGTTGATGTTCCCATCATGATTTTGAAATTGTATGTTTTTATTGGTTATAATTTTTGTTTGTTTGGTTAAATATTTTTAAGTGAAAAATTATATTAATATATTTTTATGGGTCCTAATAAAGTTCCGTGCATTATATTTATATTTAACTGTCAAACTACAAAAAAGAAAGTTTAACTTTTTTAGGGTTTTTTTCAATTTTAAGGGTGACAAATTTTTCCTACTTATACCTCCTTAATTACCAGCTAGATACTATTAGGATCCGGCGTATAATATTGTAAACAAATAAATAAAAAAATGTATTTTAAGAGAGCATAAAACGTAAATGTTACAATTTAGTGAACATTTCAAACTTAACGTATTCTGTCAAAAAAAATTGAATTCAAAATGTCCAATATATCAAGAAAAAACATAGATTTGTCGCCTAAAAAAATTGTGTTTATCATTTCCCCAAAAACCTTACCGGCATCGCACTGCAAATCATCAACTTCAGCCATTACACTTCGTTACGGTTGCGGTAGTGTAGATTAAATGAACTCGAGGAATGGAAACAACGTTATCTTTATATTTTGTTAAAGCGAATTTAGTTTTTACATTAAAAAAGAAAAAACCGATTAACTGTCGCCGCCATGACAGTGATACGAGGGGTATCGAAAGTGCGTGTTAAACCTAAGGTGTAAACGTTTTAGTTTTATTTCAAAAACAATATTCTGTCACGAGAGTCTTTAAAAATTAATACACGAACTTAGTATCCACACCCCTGAAAAGTTCCTTTTCAATAAAAAGAGAAGAAGAAACAAGTACAATTTTTCACTACAACCCTTTTTTTCTACATGCAACAACTTTTGTTTCACAAAACCAATTACTATTGAACTTTATTCAAATTAAGTACGATTCGATTATTTCTTTTATTTATAATTGAGTTTCAAAAGTAAACAAATAAATTAATTGCATTATCTTTAGCATTGGTATGACTACGTAACTATCTTAAGTGCCGTATGCGCATATCAGTCGATAGATCAAGGTTAGTGCTAAAGTTACCAATGGCCAAAATAAACAACAAATAAATTAAAAAACCTTAAGTAATGGTAAGACGTCGCTGTTCGACGAATAAAACACGTTTTAACTATTTCTCGATTAAAACATAAAATAAATAAATTAAAACGGCTAGTATTAAAAAACAAAAAGTACATTTTATATTCTTTTAGCTTCGACCAGGAGCTGCAAAGAAAATATTGTTTTTACAATAATGTGATTTTAATATTTGTGTTTGGTCCTACGATACCTATCTCCCAAACCACCGCGATCCACTCAAAATCGAAAAAACACTCAAAGAAATTACATATTTTTTATCTTTAAATTACGGCATTCTGTAACTTTTTTTTAAATTGTAGAATTTTTTCCAAATTTGTATGGAATATTTGTTAGACATGCACGACTAACTATTATTATATTTTTAAATTGTTTAAATTATTAGGTACAGCATATTTTAAACACACACTGATCGATATCAAAAACCGCTGATGGCATCATTAGTTGATATTAACTATAAAACTTTTAATAGTGTGTTAAAGTCGATTTACTTAAATGATGGTATGATATGCAAATAATAGGAACGTTCAGATAAAAAATGTACTTAATTATACTACTTTTTAAAATTTTAATCACCCATAGTACCTATAAAAAACTTTTTATACTGATCCTAGATTCTTAAATAAATATTGGAGAACTAAGAAACGCAATGCGTTAATTCTATAATAGTGTTAACGTGTAGCAAATTACACAAAAATATTAATAATATTAATTTTTTATTGTAAAATAAATTGAAATTTTCTGAATATGTTTTAATTTAAATAAAAAGTGAGAAAAAAATTAATAAATACTCAGTAACAAAAAGCAGCTGTGATCCAAATGAAACCCCATCGAGTTCTTACAAATAAAACCTAACAACTTAAAATAATCGATAAAAATCGATCAAATAATTGTTATTTTGTAACATAATAATTTATTGACACAGCGTGTAATCTCAAATCATACTATGATACATACATTTTTTAATAAACTTGAACCTATAAAAAGGCGCCGAACAATATCATTTGTATGTACTTCGATTATAATAACAATGCCAATAAATTATTTTGCACAATGCGTATAAACTAATTTACATTTTTTTTATTTAGCATTAATAAAATAATTAAAAAGCCCCAAAGAGAAAACCATCCTCATGTTTAACAAAGGATTTGGTTCTTATAATTGTATCTTAATTAAAGATGATTAAATACATGATATATCTACTTTAATAAATACATCTGCATTTAAATCTGTTATATTCTTAATGTTAATAATAATATACCTCTTAAATAAAAAATATATTATCTTTAATGAAATTACTTGCTTGAAATCTATATATTCTATATATTTGATAGTTACATTATTTTAGTATTTGTAAATTGTATCCCAGTAAAATATGGATTTACTGTTATTCTACTTTAAAAAAAAAAATACTTTATATATAATATACATGATATTTGTTAGCTTGCAGACATTTTTGTGGTTATTATATTACTAAATATTATAAATTTAAATTTTACTGCATGTACACTAAAGATAGCATAATATATTGCTCATTTACAAATTTCCCATATTAGTTCCATATGTTATACATGTATAAGTAAATGATAATGTGATTACGTGTAACTCAATTAAAACCTACATTATTATGATGTTTGGCAAAATTCTACATTGCGATTTTATCAGTGTGGTGACAGTAGTATTATAGTTTAGTAAAATCTGCATTGTATACCTACCTATGCATATTAAATTCCCATCGTGTTTGAAAACAACACACACGGCACACAAATTTATATATAATATAACATTACTACCCCCATTTTCAAAAGACTTTGTCAAACTAATTTTATTTACAATCGGTTGTTCAGCTAATATGTATTCTTTGAATCAACGGATTTTTCAATAAATTAATTCCAAAAAGTAAGAGCGATGGAACCAGGTAACGTAGCGCCTTAGCTTATGTGAGAATGTCAGTTATTTAATTTAATTTTAGATTCAAAAGATCCTCTATTCATCAGTAATAAACACCCGAACCATGATCAAACTGACTTTGAAATTGAAAACGTACATGTAATACTCGAAGCAAGAGCTTTCGCAGAATTTGCATAGAGGATTTTGTTCAAATGGAATTCACCGAATAACATTTTATCTAATCCGACAGAATGGAGAACAGACGTTGGTTGCAAATCAATACAATATAGCTTGATTTATTCAACAAAATAATCGCAGGGACATTTCAATCCAGCCCTCTTCCGTACCTACCAGTTTTTGTAAACAATAGTATACCTACCTCTTCATCATGACGAGATTTAAAAAGTCATGTAAACATCTATGTTCGAGTAAAAAGAAAATACGTATATAAATCATAACTCATAAGATTGGACGGCTTTACAGATAGAATGCATTCTATTTTTTTCATGATTAGAAGTGTCTCGTTAAAAAATCTTCAATTTTAGTATTTCTTTTGAAATCGCAATCTAGCTTATGGTTATTTGTATTGCATGATCCGTTTAGCTTGACAAAAATAATCATCATTTATAAATAAATACCTAAAATGCCTAAATAGTACCTATTTATAGTAGTATTTGTAGAAGACACGTGTATTTTTATCATCATTATTTTGCGTATGTTGAAATATATCCGAGTGCGTCCAACAGATTCAAATATTGACATTCCAACGTGCATCGGGGTGCATGCTTGTGCATGAGTACGCCAATTGTTTATGCAGCTGTCGAGCTAGCACATCCCTCGTGTATATGCGTCGATGGTGACCTTACACCGATGCGTGTGTATACATTGACATTTTAACAACTTTCATGCGTATATTTATATACAGTGTATGTTATACATGTTTACTGTGTTCAATCCGAAATATATGTATAATTAACAGTCGTTTGAAATTCACGGATGACCTCAGCTCCACCCACCACTGATCCTACTCGTTTTCACCCTATCCAACCTTTGTACTTCTACGTCGCCGAACCATATTTCTTATTAGATAAGTTTAATATCTGTACCTCGAGAGAGAAAGCTAATTTCATACTTTGAAACTTTTGGGTGAATTAATATTAAAGTTTTTGGCGACTTTATAAGAAATAAAAATAAAGGTATGTTGTGTTTTAGTCATATCCGTCATAGCCCGTGTAGGCAGAGGTGGTATACGCTTGAACAGTTCTCTTTTTAAATGGCTTGAAACCCAGAGGAGTTTTGAAGGATTTGAACTTCTCAACGGCCCTCTAGCAACGTTTACGGACAAGGTGAACAATACGATTCGTATTCTAAGAAGTTTGATTGAAGTTAGGATGAAACTTAACTGACTCAAAGTTAATAAACGATTTCCTGTTTCATTTTCGAATTTACTCTCTACTCAGATAAATTAACGATAATATAATTATATTAAGTTTTCAATAATGGTAATTCGACTTAACATTGGAAATACCTGTTCGCTTTTGTACCGTGCACATGTCGGTGTTGTGTAACGGCAAAATGTTTTTCAGTGGACACGAAACGTTGTGACAATTATTGTTGTTCTTGCGTTGAGTCATTTTGCGGATGCGGAAACGACTATGCCGAGGGGGTTGTAAACGGTCGTCCGGATAAAGTTGACCATTCTACTGGCACTACTACTACCGATAACGAACCACGCTTGAGAACATTTAAGAATTAATTTCAAATCGAGTAAACAGCAACTGACCGGTACTAGTACGCCTCATCCTTAAGACTTGGCTGTAGCCATAACGCGTTATAAGGTCATGTTTGTCGTCCGCGTTACACGGCCGACATGGAAGTACTTGGCGTTATTACACTCGGCTAGGGCATACGTTATCTACATTGAATGTTGCACTCGTTGTCGTATTATTAATTATGGATTAGCAATTTTCATAAAATTGACCTTCGCCTCCGCTAACGAAGACAAGCGCACGCGATTTACTTTTCGCCTGGCGGTTACTACTAACGGCGGAATAAATTGTTATACCTAATATGATAACGATAATGCATTATCGAAGACACCAGACAATGATTTTCTACAAGACACGAGCGCAAGCGCCGTTTTTTTTGTGTGTGTGTCGCTCCGACACAATGACAATCACACGAGTTCGAATTGATGTTATTAGACTCTGCTGCGTGATATGGCAGTATGAATAATTACTGTACAGGACGGGGCAAGACGTGAGGTTGCGATGGGGAAAAAACTAATACCCAAGGTGAATAATAATAATACTAAGTCCTTCGCAATCGATCATTTTGGAGACGTTGAAAAAAACGAGTAAATGGAAATCGAACAAAATATATATTATCACCACACATACACAGTATACAATATCAACAATGTTGTGTAGTTCCTATATATACTGTTATGATGGAGTACCCGTACCGATGACTTCAAAGCGATTCGTTTCTTGCCAATTCGCATAGTTTAACGGAATATGTGGTGTAGCTAGACCAAGTCGTTTCGAGTACTTATACTAGTTACAGTACACGTGAGATTTTGACTCGTAGACGCTTTTTCCATAAGTACTCGTCATGGTCTTGAATACAACGTGGGGTTTTCCAAAAACTACCATTGTATAAGCGAAACCGACAGCCGATATTCTCAAAAAGACTTTTTAAATAAAATTGTTTTCCTTTAAAATAGGCCCTTTATAATCCTTATTAGGTAAACCATAGTGTTATATACATTTTATACTAAAACTAAATATTTTTTACTTATTGTGGAAATAAACCTTCCGTTGTCATTTCAAATTTTAACAAAATCAATGTAAAAAAACTCATTAAAAATTATTACTTAATACAAACAAAATACTGTTCAATATCATAGTTGAATCACACATTTTAATGCAACGCTCTAAAGATAGACACACAAGAAATTAGTACGACGTCACATTTTTATAAATAAATTCAACATGGCTATTTTTTATAAGATCCATAGACATATTATTAATATTTAAAACTTTTTTTTTTTTATTGAGATTCAATGCATGTTAGTGTGCACCAATTTTTATTTATTTTGAGATTGTACAAAACATATATTAACTTGTAATCAATATGTATGTAAGTGGATTAAATAATCAATTAATAAAAACTTGTAATTCGACATGTGTGTTAAGAAGAACATGAAAAGCAGAGCCGAAACTAAGTATGGGGAAGGCCAAAAGCCTCTTGAGTAAGCCGATAATCCGATTTAAAACTTATCTAGTCGAAATGTAGTTTAATTAGTTTTAATCGTTTCAAATACAACGGAAAAAATAATTCAATATATAAAATAAAAATAAAAATATTATTAATTTATAAGAATTAAGCGTGTAGCCATATCCATGCATACATAAATTTCTATTTTTTTGAATTCCTACCGTCTCTCTCCCCTCCAAATAAACAGAGCTCTTACTAGGATCATATTTCACTGTGTAATGGTTATTACCCTATTCTATTCTAATGAACGAGCAATAATTGTATACATATATAAATAACTATTTGCGAACGTCTGAAAGGATTTAAATTAAATTAGCCGACATAATGTCATACACTGATGTTAACTATTGTAACCATAAACTAAAATACATTTTAAAAGTCATCATTAAATACCAAAATGTTTTTACTCACATAGAATCCATTAATAAATGATACAAATTAGTTAAAGTTGCATTAAAAAACGTACAAAAAAAAAAAAAATAATGACAAAATTCATAATTTGAAATATGAAGAGTGAAAGTGTCAAACGTTCCAAGTGCCAAAGTATAAAAATTGAACTTTATAATTTGATTTGTATTTTAATTCATTACCGGAAACACTTTAACATATTTTTGAGTTTTACATATGATTGTTTTTTTTCTTAAAATTAGTTACCATATTTAAACTTTGTTTTTAACATTTGTCATTTTCTTATCCAATCTCTTAAAAAAAATGTACAAAAACAAATCGGAAAAAGTAGTAAAAAATAAATGTTTGAAAACGTACAAATCAAAAATATCAAATAAAAGTAATATCAAATGTCCCCAAAAGCATATTCTAGTGTGGAGAGGGAAAAAGTTTTATTTTGTAAACTACTGATGAATTAAAAAAGTTTGGTCATTTTATTTATATTCGGAAAAATAACAAAAATGGAACTACCAAAATGTTTAGTTAATAAATAATATGTTTAACAAACCTACACAAATTTTAGTAGTTCAATAATTTTTTTTGAAATTCGGGATATATGTATTTCGATATTACTTTCTATACAAACCAAACACAATATCATATTATTATATATTTATCTTTGCCTTATCCCACGCTGCTCGCAAGTAGATTCGTTCACTCTCAATCCTCTCTCCCAATGTTTGCCCTAAACGTCAAAATTGTTACCATGTTCAAGAAGTTACCTACTTAAATATTAAATAAAAAGTTAACTGAAATATACACGATGTGGTTATTTATTATACGTTACATTTTTATTAAAATATACCTGCACTAATATATGAATAACTCGAGATGTCATTAAAAGTTACGAATGTAAGTATAATATGCTTATACGAATGTTATATGCACAAGTTTCTATTGCTTTGACCAGAATCATTGTTAGACAAAATCAGACTGCGCGAGGGCTTAATTCCCTACGTTATTTTAGCGGTTAAAACTTTTAACATTGTTGCCATTGACAAGTGTAATCATACAAATTATATATATTCTATCATAGGCATGCTCTTACATGTCGCTGAAATAATAAAACGTTTTATGACCGTTTGCAGCAATTAAGTTTAACTTTTTTAGGGTAGTCTAAGAATAACTGTAACTATAGAACTATTTAAAAGTAACTTTAACAACTGTACTTAAAATTTAAGTACAGTTAGTGAAAACAGTCATTAATGTTTTATATTTATATAGAACATTTTTTTTTTTTTTTTTGTGACAATCAGATAAATAGGTTTTATTAAATTTGCGCATTTTATTAAACACTATCAGCGGCGCGGCGGCGTCGTCTTATTAAAACGATTTGTCTACTTTAATGACGACCGTTTTGTTTGACGGAATTAAATTCTAAATTGACTAATTTGACGGGAATATTTCATATACAGTCGACTGTTAAAATAATCGTGAATGTTAATTAAATAAATAAAACATCTATAATTCATTATAATAAAGCGCGTCGGATAATTGATATTAAGAACAAGCTAGAAATACATTATGCGTACCCCCTATTGGTCATTAATAAACGATGTGTTTCAAAAATATTATCAAGTAAAAATATACGTTAAATTTGTAAAAAAATATATTATATTATCATTAGATTTGACAGTCGATTGCACAATGTAAAAACAATTAATCTGATCCGACGGTGTGATGATGAAGTTAAACGACAGAGAAATGGCGTCTCCGTGGGTTGTGTTTTTAAAGACATCATAAAAACCAATAGAATTTTAATAAAGAAAACTGATTAAAATCGACATTATAACTCAAGAAAATAATAATCTTTGTAGAATTTGTATATTTTTTCTTTATAATTTTATTTTTTAATTAAAATGCTCAAAGGCATTTTTAGAAAAACAATTTAATAAACATAATTTTGTCCAAGTAGGTAAAACAGTTATTCTTTATGGTTTAAAATTATTGTTATTTTATTGAAGTTGCTTAATTTTTGTATTGTTTTTATACATTGTTAAGGTTTTTAAAATAGAGTTATCAATTGTGTATTTTTATACTTATCAATAGAATATTTCAATATTTCATTAACCGTTTTAATTGCTATTCTGACATACATTTGGCTGCAAATACAATGCCAAAATTAATAGTGTTTAAATAGTTTTTTTTTCATAATAACTGAAATAAAATTTAAAAAAATTTGTAGATATTTTTTTGAATGAATTAGTAGTTAAAATTGTTTCTTTGATAAATTGATAAAAACACATAGCATATGGCAATATAAACGTAAGACTATTTTCTCTGGAAATAATTTTATAGATTTTCTTTTTAAAATATTTAAGTTAGTGATTAAATAATATTATAACATTTTCAATTATTTACCTTTTTTAGTATTCTTTAGGCCTAATCGATTTTTGAAACTTAAATAGTTAAGATATATATTTTGACATTTTTAACCAGTTTTGAATAAAATAAATTTGTTAAAGTTTAAGCCCCGTCGAAGAGTTGTTAAGATAAATAATATTTTTATCTGTATGCAATACTTCACCACATCCGCCCTCGCGTCAATTTAAAAAATATTCAAAAAAATTAAGTATGAAATTTTAAAACAAAAATAACTAATGACTAATGAGGTATTCTTTTCCAAATTTTACAATAATGAATAAACAAAAATTTAATACTTACTACTGTTTCCGTTATATAATATTATATTGTTGTAATAAGTTGAAGAACACTATGGCCTTAAAATGTTTTAGCAGTACAGAAAATGTATAATGATACCCTGTTTCGGTTCTTATACTTAAAAATAAAATAGGTGTTTATTATATTTACTCAAGACATATGACATCGCTCTTATAAAACAAAAAATAGTGTTTACCTGCGACCTTGAAGAACTAGCACTTATTAAAAGTTTG